AATTGTACGAAGGTAACTGAGGAACGACGATGTGTAAGACAATAAATCATACATACAGTGAAAAACGCTCTTTTTGTAGCACATCCTACATGTACATATCGGCAGCATTTTCCTTGCGATAGTAACTCCTAGTAATATGTTTTAGTTTAATCAGAAATTTTGATGTAATATATTTTAATTTAGATGGACCAATGAAAATTACATTCGAACTTCCTACTGAGTGTGTGAGTAGATACTTGAAAGAATGCGTCGAGAAACATGACTGGCAGTCTTTGGAACTCTTCCTACTTGGTGGCGGTGGTCATGGATCGTACGCTAAAGGCGAAGGTGGAATTGCAACTGGTAATTGTGATCTCAAGGAGATCTCTTTGTGTGATGTTATGAAGTCAGACCCTAAACCAAACATGTATTACGAACTTATCAGTGTCCTTATTGATCACGGTGCTTTGGTGAATGGTCGCAATGAACAACATATTCCATTGGCGTTGGCAGTGAATTACAATGATCACGATCTTGCTGTTGTTTTGCTGAAGAAGAACGCAAATTCTCAAGGTCTTCTAAGAAGTAAATCTGGGAAACGCGGTGATACGCCAATTCACACTGCGTTCAGAATTGGACTTTCTTTGGGTATGTTATGTTTCTTAATTATTTTAGGTAACCTTCGTTTTCAACCAAATTTATATTGAATACACTTAAGACAGGGCAATATAATCATTTCCAGGAAAGTTCAGAAGTCTTATGCTGTCGATATATAAACAAATAGGAGCAGTGTTAGTGTTGCCATGGCAACCATGACGTGTCATCTTTTGCACTTTTTTTAAGATTTATGGTTGAAAGAGGAATGACATATTAAAATTTGAAGCGATGTTTACAAGGCAGGTTTTGAGATATTCATGAACAACGACTACAGAAAATCCGTCTTGTAGAAATTCCTGAAATTTTGATATGTTTGACTAATAGTCATGCTTAGCAAATATTCAAATTTTAAAACAAATTCACGGAAGGAAACGACAATCATTTCGACTGCATCAAAAATTAATAAAACGCTTCAATTACATACTTACTAAAAAACTCTTTCGACATTCTTCAAGTTCAAAATACAAAAAAATGAAAATGCGTTGGCTTTGATGCTTGATTTCCATCGTAAAATTTAAAAAATATGCCCATAATTACAATCCGCGCTCATTTCTTGACAGACAATGAAATAAAGAATTTTTTTAATGATTGACTAGAAGCTAACAACAATCTATATCACTAACGGCATGCCTTTCTAAAGTTCTCGAAGATTTCGTCGTTAAATGGATGATCTCTGACATCAAGACTAATATCGACCCACAACATGCAGTTCGGTTCTTTAAAGGGTTAATCCACCACCTATTGCCTGCATGATATGTTGCATTCTTGGCTTTCCCATTTGGATTCCCCTGATCATTACCTTCGCACATGCTTTTTGGATTTCTCTAAGGCTTTCGATCGTATTGCGGTGCCCGTGCCATTTTTTGGCACCGCATTATAATCTGCCTGTGAGTTTGTCCGTTTGTTTGTTTGTTAGTTTGTTCGCATCAATACGTTTCCTTAATGGCCTAGTAAAAATTCCTTGCACGTGCTCGGAATTTATTAATTATTATTAATCGTGTACTTTCATGATCGACTGTTTGCTAGGCTTTATCTCTGGTTTTATGCGTGAAACAAGGACAAAAATACCACTGTTCGAATCAGCGTGAAAACTTGTATTTACGGACGGAAAATTGACTTCAAAATTGACTTCAATTCTAGCGATTTGTGGCCTTTGAAAGATAAGCCGTCCAAAATAATCCACGTTTTCCGAATTCCTTTTTTCGAGGAAAGTTTTCTTTCGAATTAATCTCGGACTCTCACGATTGACTTTTTTCTGCGCCTTATCTCTGGTTTTATGCGCCCAGTAAGGACAAAAGTACCACCGTTCGATTCAGCGAAAGAAATTATACTCGCAGATGACAAATGTATTACTAAACAACAGTATTCTAGCGATTTATGGCCTTTGAAAGACAAGCGAAATTGTATTGTTCACACATCGCTCAAAGTTATTAAACTAATTAAAAATGCAATACATTTGACCTTGATAACTTTCGTATTGTTGGTTTTCTCTTTTTTCGGCCGTATACCAGTCGATTCGTCTCACTATTCTGTTTATTTTGTTAGTAGTTTGAGCCCAAAATATTATATTTTGAAGGTTTTAATGCGCAGTTTTAATAAGCGAAATTGTATTGTTGACAAATCGCTCAAAATTATTAAACTAATTAAAATGCAGTCCGTTTGATCCTTGATACCTTCGGAATTGTTGGTTTTCTCGTTTTTGGCTGTACGCCAGTGGATTTGTCTCACTTTTCTCCTCATTTTGATAGTATTTTGAGCCCAAAATATTTTATTCCGAAGGCTTTAAAACGCAGTTTTGATCCTAATGTACGGACCAACTGGCGGCCGACAGGAGAATGTAGCGTGCTAAATATAACTTTACTTTACTTGTGCGTGTAGTCGAGGAGCTGAATCTTAAAAACCCACTAGTTAACAGTTTCGATCAACCCATTCCACAGTAAAGGTTTGAAAACTAATTCTGGTAGATTAGACACCGCTGATTAACGCTAGGTATGTTGTAGATTCGAAATGTGGTATCAGTTTTCACTTAAGGTGGCTCACAACCGATTAAGTCATTTAAAAAAATCCAAGAAAAATGGAAAACACGATCTTTCGAAAATGGCTTTGTTACTATGGCAACGAAGAAACAAAATAAGTTTTTGCATTTTTCACACAGCACAATACTGTGGCAATGTTGCAGCCAAGTTTCATGACCATACCTTGCACAATAAACAGTAAAAGGAATTGTGCGCTACAAAGTTAAAACAGCAATGAGCCACTTTAAGAGCATAGTTTCGTGGTCTAGAAATCGTTTATATTTTAAGAAAATTGAGCACACTTTAAAAAATTATATACTGACAATTAAATACAAAATAGTTTAATTTTATCTGTTAGTACCATCTCCAGGAGTTTTACGTTGGTTTTCCCGCCAAAACTAGCCTCATTTTCATGCTATATTCATAATTTAAAAATGGCGGATGGATAAATCTTTTGAAAGTCAGTTTTTGCTGGAAAAATGCTAAAAATGTGACCGGTAAGTGAGAAAATAATCAAAATAGTGTCTGAATGAATTCATAATATGCATTTTAAGTTATTTGTGAGCTTTTAAGATAATTTATGTAATTTTTAAAGTACTTTAATTCACTACGAAAAGATGTAATATCATGTTGTAATAAAAGTTTTAGTTCCAGTACAATTAGTTAAAAATACAAGAATACACCTAGCATACTCAGTTACCCCATTGTTTTTTCTTACACATATTCATGCATTTCTTTATAAGTTTATTGTTTGTTATTTAATTTTTTTGCATGCTTCTCTGACAGAAGTATCTTGAGTCGACGTTCCTTGTCTACTGGGTAGATAGTTCATCGGATAATAATTACCGGTAAGTGTTAAAATAAAGTACACAAAACAGCATCTTTTAAATTGAACAAACTTTAAGTTATATATAAAGGAGGCTAATAAGAAACTTTATCCAAATAGACTTTAAAAACGTTTTTGTATTTGTTCTATCATCGCTAACTTCATGATCTTGATTGCAGCAGTTATGATGGATGTAGAAAATGAAGGTGATGACATTGGTATTGTTACGTTCGCGGGCGAGAACGAACAAAAATGTGTGTCTGCATCTTCATCGTTTACGCTCGTTGCCCTCCTTGACCAGACACAGCGACACGCGCTGGCCAAGGAGGCTTTCTTGTATTTGTAATAACTTCTTCTGAGTCTTGAAAGTTCTTCAACAACAACAATTAACTCAACAATATCAATTTATTATCTTTAACTATCTCTTAATAGAATATTTGAATGAATGAATGAATCTAGCTTAAGCTTTCGCTGCTTATATACTCTCCGAAAGATATTAATAAAACATGACATCATACTATTTTTAGATACCACGTAAACGATGAATATAGTAAAGTTATGACTCAGCAAAATTACGTAATGTCTTAATTAAAATTGTTCAAGACGTGACTGACTTCACGTCACAGTATACAATTTCCTCTGCCGCTATTACCCAAACGACGCCGTTCGACATGTTTCACTAAGTGCATTATTTGCCAGTCTGACTCAAGAGAAAATCTGAGAAAGGGAAAGCAATCTTCTGTTAAAAATTTTATTTCGAAATTGCAAATTCGTCAGGATGACGTTTATCGACGACGTTCTGCAAATTTTGATGTCTTGTACGAAAACGAAGTTCTGTGGCACGCTTCCTGTTATACAACATATACAAGTGAACAAAATATCAAGTATGCGTCAAATCATCAATCATCGACAGTGCAGACAGAAAAAAATAAGTACGCTGAAGCAACCAGTGAGCCTTGTGCCATGATATCTCGATCTAAAGCTGTCCCGCATGACTGGTCAAAATGCTTGTTTTGCAAGAATCGCACTCACAAGAAAGAAAAAGTGATGCAAAGTGTATTCACACTCGCGGCATGCAATACAATAATGCAATGTGCGGAGGCAAAAGGAGATCAGGATATGCTTCGTGTACTTATGGGAGTCGGCAATGATTTAGTTGCCGCCGAAGCGAAGTATCACAAAACATGCTTCGCATCTTATGTGAGCAAGTCAAACCTCAAGTCTCAAGTCTTTAAGGAAGATGAAAGAAAAGAATTTGTTTATGGCCAAGCATTTCGTGAAATGGCTTTCGAAATTAGAACGGGGCTAGAATCGGGAATGGCTTATGATATGGTTTCATTGTTGAAGAAATATGCCGAATTGCTAGAAGAAAGAGGAGTTGATGGTCAGAAATACACTAGCCAGAAACTGAAGCTTCGAATGAGAAGTCATTTCGGAGAGACGATTGTATTCCATCAACCTTATCAGAGATCAAGACCCGGACTCGTGTATTCAAGTAGTATTTCACTACAAATATTATCAATGCTTCTGCTACCCACAACAAAGAACAACCGTCATCACAAGCACGTCGAAACCAAGCCAACACCCAAGATCCTCCTCCTAAACTTCTTATGTACGAAGCGGCGCAGTTGTTAAAACATCAAATAAAGCAGTGTAAAGGCATATCTATTTATCCAGCAAGTGTGAATGATATAGATCAAGCAACAGCTAAAAATGTAGTACCTGGAGACCTATACCTTTTCTTGCGTTGGTTGATTACCAATGACGGTGTGGATATAGACGCTGAGTCAGATTGCAGTAATGATTCAGATGAACGAAAAGTTCTTTGTCTCGCTCAAGATGTAATTCACTGCACGTCTCATGGTCGGGTAAAACTTCCAAAGCACCTGGGTTTCGCCATGTCTGTGCGCCATTTGACTGGATCTAAACAGTTACAATCCTGGCCAAAACTCATGTGGACACTTGATCCACTTTTGCAAAAATCATAACAAACACCTAAAACTTGAATTTACTTGCACATCCCCCACTCCCCCTCTTCAATGTTGCATATCCGACTTAACCACACTTCGTATTTGATGAAAAATCCCATTCAACATTGGCTTGGGGGAGCGGGGGGATAATTATTTAGAAAAAACATCATTCGAGGCCAAATTCTGTGGGTTGTCCACAACGTTTTGTCCAGGATTGTCTGAAAAATTATGGGCATGGAGCAGCGCTGTTTTCTCACTTGTTATTTAACATTTGATATGTCTGATGAGACTATAACGCATACCTATGTATTCTAAGTTTTTGTTATACAGTTTGATCGCTGATGGCGTCACTATTAGCAATACGTGACTTCCGGATGTTGTAAATATAAGCTAGCTAATTTGTGGGAAGCGTGCGTATGGTAAAACCAACTATACTGAATAGGTGCGAGCATAACTTTTTCTCAATCTTATACATGAAAGGTACACCGACTTTACTGTTCAGATACATAGCCAAGGAGCGCATTTAGGCTTTAACAGGAGACAAATTGACGGTGCAGAAAATTTTCAGGGTCATATTTACGAAGATTCAGTATGATTCCAGAAGGTCTCGGGACTCAAGCTATGTAGCAATTACCTTATTCCATGGAATAAGTTATTGTATTTTTGCATATTTACTGATTTTAGCGACTCCTGTAGTTTTGAACAGCCTATATTTTTATACACAGCCCTAATATATTACTCGCCAATGACAAGAACCTTGCAATATCAGACTGGAAAAGCTTCAGTTCTCAAAATAAAATATATCATGTTAACCTTTTTCGCCATTTGAAAGGCAATATAATTTGACATTGAGGATTCTCAGTATTTCCAAACATAAGTGTCTATCATAAACTTGTACGCGAACTCGATCCAGCTACGGCATGTAGTAAAACATGGACTGGACTCATTAGTAAAACATGGACTGGACCCGATTAGTAAAACATGGACTCTATTAGTAAAACATGGACTCGATTAGTAAAACATGGACTCGATTAGTAAAACATGGACTCGATTAGTAAAACATGGACTCGATTAGTAAAACATGGACTCGATTAGTAAAACATGGACTCGATTAGTAAGACATGGACTCGATTAGTAAAACATGGACTCGATTAGTAAAACATGGACTCGATTAGCAAAACATGGACTCGATTAGTAAAACATGGACTCGATTAGTAAAACATGGACTCGATTAGTAAAACATGGACTCGATTAGTAAAACATGGACTCGATTAGTAAAACATGGACTCGATTAGTAAAACATGGACTCGATTAGTAAAACATGACCAGATTAGTAAAACATGCATGGACCCGATTAGTAAAACATGGACTCGATTAGTAAAACATGGACTCGATTAGTAAAACATTCCTAAATGTAGTTCCTTGTCTGTATTTTTTTTGTAAATTGTAATTTTAATAACATCAACTTTTGTGTATAAGAGATCTCATCGATATTTAACGTAAAG